CCTCCAGGGTGACAAACAACAGAAACCATGGGGGGAGACGATGGTCGGAGTAAGATATGAAAGTAATAATAATTTGTAATTTCTCAAGGGCTCACAAGGTGAGGTGGGGGAAGAAGATCCAATACCAAGGGCTCAATAGAAAGTAGATGTCTAGAAAAGAATGATGGCAAAATATGTACAAATGTGCTAGATGTAATTGATGTAAGGATTGTTATAAGAGGCATAAGAGCCCTAAAAATGATTTTTTAATAAAATTTGGAAAAAAAACTAGTTGATTATAATTACAACTTCCCTTATGATGTCCAAGGTAGACATTTGCTTAGTAATTTTCTCAGAGAAGCAAGCTGGGCAAAATAAGGGATACAAGCTTAGCATCCTCTATTCACTGTGGTCCTAGGTGCCAGATGCTCCTTTAACCCAAGAGGCAAGAATGCAGACAATGGAACCCACCCACTGGCATCAAGTCTCTTCTGAGTCCTCCTTACTATCGGAAGCTGGTCTGTTGCTGTTCGAGGCCACCGAGTTGGTTCTGCCTCATAGCAACCCACTCCACGACAGAACACAATACTGCCCGGTCCTGCACCGCGCTCTGTGTCAGAGCCCAGTCTTGCAGCCACTGTGTCCAGCCAGCTCATTGAGCACCGGTTCTCAACCTGTGGGTCAGGACCCCTTTGGGGATTGAACAACCCTTTCCCAGGGGTTGCCCAATTCATAACAGAAGCAAAATTCCTTCTGAAATAACAACGAAAATAATTTTATGGTTGGGGAGTCACCACAACATGAGGAACGGCATTAAAGGGTCGCAGCATTAGGAAGGCTGAGAACCACTGCACTATCCCATCCATCTTAAATTGTAATAATGTTTTTAGCTTGACTATGTTTTGAAAGATGTATCTTTTTCAATCTTTAACTTTCCAACTGTATTATTTTAGCTGAGCACTTAAATACTTATCAATCACAGAGTCCTCTTCCCTTTGTCGATTGCCCCTTCCCAATTCTCCTACCCTTTTTCTTCTTCAAAGAGCTTCCCATTCTCCCCACCATGCCGGACTGCTTCCATTATGTGAGTTTGAGAGTTTATAGAAGCTGTCTATTTTTGTCTTTTTACGTGGCATTCTAAGGACCCATAGTGAGAGGGTATGTGGT